CCGGCTGTCCCCGCAGCGCCCGCCATCCCCGCCATAGAGGAGGAGCCAGGCGGTGGCTGCTCAGGCTCGGGCCTGTGCACCGGGCCCCCGGAGTCGATGCTGGACAAGTTGGCGGCCAGCCTCGAGGACAGACTCTTCCCGCCGCGCCTCCCCCAGCCCGTTTCCGCGGCCCCCACGCTGGCCGCCGCTGCCGCCGCGCCCACGTCCCCAGACCACAGCCCGGCCTAAGTCCCGCACCCGCTCTCCAGCTCCTCTGGCATGCACAGGGCCTCGGCAGCTGGACATACCAGGGGTGCGACGACCGGGTGCCCACGCGCCGGACCGCGGGGCCTCACACGCAAGCACACCGCCCCGGATGCCCCGCACCGCCCCGGGACGCACGTGCACGGCCCCTTTCGGGCACTTCGCTGGATCCCTGTGGCATTCCGAGGCCCGAGGAGCCCGGCTCGTCTGGAGGGACGGAGGCCCAGGTTCAGACGCCGTGGCCTCTGGGTGGTGGCGGGGCCTGCGTCCACGGGAGGCGCATGTGCAGGGCCTGCGTCCTGGAAGGACTATTAGGTCTGGCTGCGTGAAACGCATGTGCAGAACTCTTCTCCTGGGACCAGTTAGATCGAGGTTCTTCTGGTCTGCACGAACTGGGGTCCATGTCAGGGCCCATGCGCCTAGCCCCCTGGGACACGGATCACGGGGCCACAGGATCCGTGATGAGAAGACCGGCCGCTGCCATCAACTCCCCAAAGCCGTTTACCTCACTGCGTTGTGTGTTCGCGGCAGTCCAAGCCCCCTCCAAGCAATAACCGTGCCCACTGCCGCCACCGCAGCCACCCTGGCCCCGGACGGCGCCTCCCGCCGCCCACCCCGTGGTGCGCCCACCCTGCGCATGTGAGTGGGCCGCCCGCCCTGTAGCCGCAGCTTCCAAAGAGCCGCCAGGACTCAGCAGTGTTTGAGACTTACACAAAATCCAAACGGCCAAGGTTTCAAGTTTCCTAAGCTTTATTTATTGCCAAAAGATGGGGCGGCGGAGTCACCCTGCCCCGCTCGTCGAAGCTTCGAGCTGTGTCCTATCCAGCGATGGAGTTTCTTGTTGTGTTTTGTTTTCAGTTGATTATAAATATTTACTGCATACTCTCGCTTGCTCTGGGTTTTCTCTGGGGACCCAGGCGCACAGGTGCCTTGGGGAAAAGGGCCAGTGTCCCCACTGGTGGCTGTTGGCCCCTGTGCTGTGGACTGGTAGGCCCTGGGCTGAGCAGAGGCTCTGGAGGGAAGTCGCCACTAGGACACAGTGCTAGTGAGGCCAAAGGCAGATCCCCTCCTGGAGGCGCAGGTGCCCCCACGCGACTCCAGCAAGACCCGCAGACTGCAGCCAGCCCTTGCACTTCGGGGGCCACCGAAGGTCCCAGTTCAGGCTCAGATGCCCTGCCTGACCGCACAGTCCTGCCCCCGACAGTTCCCAAACACCCCTCACAACCACGGCTCAAATCCACCTGTTTTATTTTTTCTTAAAAAAAAAAAAAAAAAAGGACCCAACCAAACAACAAAAACACCCAGCCCCGTCAACCCACCCGTGTTTTTTGTTACAAAAAAAAAAAAAAAAAAAGGACCCAACCAAACAACAAAAACAAGGCAGCTGCCTGGCTCCCGCGGGTGCTGGGCATGCGTCTCGGCGGGCAGGCCCGTCCGCCCCCCGGGCGGCTGCGGTTTGTTGAACACGTCACTAGGTGTGGGAGGCGCTGACCGGGGCGAAGTAAAGAGAAGGCGGGTGAGCCAGTAGTCCGAACTAAAGTGCACGGCCGGCCTCGCGCTCCTCCCCCGGCCGGGGCGGAGGGGCTCAGCACGGGATTGCAAAGTCAACGGGAGATCGTGTCCACTGCCCACAGTGGGGGGTGGGGGGGTCGGACCCCAGTCCCTGCTGTCCGCCAGCCAAAGCCCTCCAGAACTCCCTGGCGTCGAGGGCGTGGCGGCGCGGAGGCGTGGCCGCGGCCGTCCTGGGCCTGCTGTTGGCGGGAAGACTGAGGACCTGGGCCGGCGCGGGCTGCGGCTCCTGGAGGCGGGATGCAGTACAGGTCACAAGTGGTCAATTCTGGGCAGGTGAACACACCCTGCATCCTGGGAAGCAAGCCCCACCCCCGGGCCCCCTGAGGCCGTCAGACATCTGGGAGCTGCACTGTGTGAGTCGTACCCACTGCCCAGGGGATGAAGCGCAGCCCTAGAGGGGCTGGGGCCGAGCAGGGGAGCAAGAGACGGGGTCTCCAGAACCTCTGGGGCCTGATCCCCACTTCCAGGACTGGGGCAGACAGGGGCAGGAGGAGAAAACAGGGAGAAGAATAAGCAACGATCAGGGTGATAGTGTCAGCCAGAGCCTGGCCCCTCCCAGTCCCCCACCCACATGGCCACCTCCAAGGCCAGCACCCCATCCTGGGAGCAGCCTGGGGTTGGGGCAGGGTGAGCCCCCGAGACCTCCTTCTGCACGCAGGTCCCATCCTGCCCAGAGTGGCCAGGAGCCTGCAGGAAGTGACCTCCTCTGCCTTCCACCTGGACCCTGGAGTGGAGATCGCCGACCCACAGGCTTCTGAAGGGCAGAGCTGGCTGTGGTCGGCAGTGGCCACAAGGGTGACCGGGCTGAGCCCGGGGAAATGCCCGTGGTGCGCCCCCGCCATGGCCCACCTGTGGCGGCCCCCCTCACTGCTGCTTGCAGGCCGACAGCCTGCGGATCTTGCTGCTGGTGGAGCAGGCCTTGCGGACGGGGTTGGAGGTGCCGCTGGCCCGGCGCTCCGCCCTGGATCTGGCGCTCAGTGGGGCCGGCTCCGTGCCGTTCACGCACACGGCCTTAAGCAGGCCCCGGCTCTGTCCGTTCTGGCCAGCCTCCTCGTCGGGGACCTGTCCTAGGAGGGGGAGGAGGAAGGCGAGTGTGGGCTGATGAGGGCCCGGGACCAACACCTCCCAAGCCAGCCCGCTCCCCGGGCGTGACCCCACCCGCCCCACCCAGGTCCGGCCTGTAGGGCCCTAACCCAGGGTGAGGGAGAGCTGGCCTGAGGTGGCCAGCAGCTGGGGGTCAGTCCCTTGCGGGCAGAGGACCTGGGGCGCGGCCCTCTCACCTGTCCTGAGACACACTTCGCAGGACCCTGCGGGACCTAGGAGGGCCTGGGCTCAGGCAAGGCTTGCGAGATAGCCCGCCAGCTGCCCGCACTGGGCACGGATGAAGGGATCGGTGCTGGGGGTCTGCCGAGTCCCCCCTGCCCGCTCCCCAGCATCCAGGGGGCTGAGGCCTGGGGCTGCCTGCCCCCAGTGAGGTGTGGGGAGAGGAGTCTGCAGGGAGGGGCCACGTCTTCTGCTCCCTCTGAGGGCCTGTGCAGCCCAGCCAGCGCTCGCCAGAACTGCCTGCTGCCCAGGGCCCGTCCTGCCACAGCATCGGCGGAGAAACTGTCTCAGCCACCTGGAGCCCCCCATCTTCTCGCCAGCACAGGGCTCCCTCTCGGTCAGGGACGTCCAGGGCTTGACTCAGCAGCTTCTGTAACTGCCACAGCTACCGCGTGCGCCCCGATCAGAGCTCACCCTGTGCATGGCCACCTGGAGCCCAGCACCCAGCACCGCGTCTCTGGCTGGGGGGCGGCCGGCAGGTCCCAGACACGCCCCGCTCGCTCTCAAGGCCGGTGCCCACAGCCACTGACCCAGCCACACCTGGCCCAAGGCCCAGCTCTCAGGACGGATGGCAGGACCCCCATGGCGGATGTCTAGCAAGGCCGCGGTCGAGCAGCTGAGAACCTCCGAGAGTGACCCCACGGCGGACATCAAAGTGGACGAGGCATCGGCCCCACCACGAGCAGGCCAGACAGAAGTGGCCACACCGCTGTGGAGCTGGACAGTCCCAGGCTGGGGCCCCCACCCAGGAAAGGCCCCCCGGGGTGTCGCACAGGCCTGAAAGGTGCTCAGGGGCCAGCTCTGCGGGCCTGGCACTCAGGCTCGCTAGGACGACAGGCTGCCCACTGACGAGGGTGACCTAGGCGCCTGTCACCATGCCGAGCCCCACTGCCCCATTCTGTGGGAGGGAAATGAAGGCTCCAGGAAGCCTTGGACAGAGACTGGCGTGCAGCCAAGGATCCTGGGGCGTAGGCACCACATACACTCCACTGCCCGGGGTTCGGGGCGCCCTTGAGGCCAGTTACGATGGGCACATAGACCCAGGACACGTGGACCCTGCCCTAGCCCAGCCGAAGACCCGGCTCCCAGGGCCCTCCCCCCCACAGGCCGGCGCCGCACATTGGCCGTCCCGCAGCAGGACCTGCCCCCGCCACCCGGCCGGGGCGCGGACCCAAGCACCAGCCGGACACGCACG